GTATATATGTATATATGTATATATGTATATATGTATATATGTATATATGTATATATGTATATATGTATATATGTATATATGTATGTATGTATATAATAACAGCATTTATATACCATTTTACAGTGCTTTACAGACCTCTCTAAGCAGTTTACAGAATCTGCATATTGCCCCCCAAATCTGGGTCCTCGTTTTACCCACTTCGGAAAGAAGGAAAGTTGAGTCAACCTTGAGCTGTTCAGGATCGAACTGCTGGCGGTAAGCAGTGGGTTAGGCTGCAATTCTGCATTCTAAACACTGCTCCACCAAATATGGGCTACTGTTTATGAAGCCCATTTTACCTGGTTCTGGAAAAGTGAGGTTTCCTGGCACTTTACAAACCTTGATCAAGAAATAGGTTACTTACTTGGTTTCTGATGTCTGTGCTATTTTGCCTGTTTTAATCTATAACAGAAGTGTGGTTCAACAAAAAAAAGGTGTTTTTTTTAAAACTTCAGAGAGTAATACAAAAAATATAGTGCATTTAAGAGCTCAGGAAAATAAGTTGTTTCCTCAGGGAAATTTGATGTGCACTTTACAACTCGTAAGTGTGTCCAATACATTATTACTTTACACAGAGACATATAAGTGTCTATGTGTGTGTATATAAAGCTGTACATAGATGTGTATATACAAATACATATGTACATACACAGACACAAACACAAACACACACACACACACCCCTCATAGCTCCAGGGTCAAATATGACTCTAGATAGGAATACCTGTCCCAGTTTGTAGCACAAAGGCAAAAGAAAATTGTGGAGAAAGTTTTGAGAGCAACAAGGAACTAAGCTCCCATGATGGCTGAATCTTGTTCTGCTAGACTGTAGCTCTATGTCCCCTTTAGCTTTTTAAAAAACTATTCCTTAGTCACCCATATTCCTTTGTCATTTTGTGTATTTAAGAGTTACCTGTTCCACCTGTAACCGTTCTCTTTTTGCCTAGAGAATCCTACATGTGCATGCAGTCTATTGATAAGAAGCCTCTTATCAATAAATACAGCTTTTTGTTGCTTTTAATCTCTTTGTTTTGGTTTTCTTTGGAGAATGGAGGGAAAATGAGAAAGCAAGGACCAGGTTGGGGATATCTTTAAAAACCAATTGCTTAAACCAGTCTTTCTCAACCTCATAAATTTTAAGATGTGTGGACTTCACTTCCCAGAAGCTCCCAGTCAGGATGCTGTCTACACATCTTAAAGTTGCTGAGGTTGAGGAACACTTGACAATTATTGGGAAGATTTCGATGTGCAACGAATTGGAGAAATGGGTCAAAGATCATGGCTCTGCATCATTTGAACACAAAATATTATTTTAATGTTTCACACCTAGGAAACAAAGCTGATAGAATCAAGAGTCTTATGCTAGGCTGAAATGTTAATTTCAACACTTTAAAAAATCAACACCAAAAACAGTTGATAGAATATCTTTATGATCTCCTCTGAATATCTTCAGCCTCCCCTGCTGATAATCCATGGTCCAGAGTCAGCAAACAACACAGACAACAATCCCCATACTAGGTATAGCATGAAAGGAGACACCAGTGGGAAAGAAAGACAGCACTTTATGAGAGAGATCCTCCTTACTTTTGTATAAGAGAGTTGAATGTATCATCAAGATGTTCTCGAATATGAGATTGAAGCTCAACTCCAGATGTAATCAACTGCTGGCGAAACTGGAACCAAATTTCTACCAGGCATTCCAACCTGTTAGAAACATGACAGATTTACATCCCAGACTGAAATCTCACATCCATCCAAACCAAAATTATCTAAGTTCCAAGAAACAAGCAAACTTTTCAAGGCCTATAGCAGTCACTTTTTACCAAGCACTAAAGATGGGCCCCATTTTTAGCAAGGGTTAAAACAAACTTCCTTAACTTTTGCCCTCCAAGTTTTAGATTACAGTAAATTCCCTTATTCCCCAGCCCACATGGCATTAGGCTATAGTAGATCCTTCATGATCAAGAACAATCAAGCACTAGTACTGGACTCAAAAGAGAACTCTAGACTGGGTAGATGGCTGTCCCATCTAGAAAGGATTCTATGTCATGTGCAGTTTTGTAAAGTATGTATAACAGAATAACAGAGTTGTAAGGACCTTGGAGGTCATCTAGTCCACCCCACATGCCCAGACAGGAGAACCTTCACAAATTTTGAAAGACGGTAGAACCTTCACAAATTTTGAAAGACGGTAGAACCTTCACAAATTTTGAAAGACGGTAGTCCAGTCTCTGCTTGAAAGCTTCCAGCGATGAAGCATCCACAATATATGAAGGCAAGCTGTTCCATTGGTTGATTGTTCTTGCTGTCAGAAAATTTCTCCTTATTTATGGAACCAATCTCTCCTTGATCCTTTCCATCCATTCTTCCTTGCCTGGTTTTTTGGAACATAGCTTGACCCCCTCCTCTATGTGACAGCCCCTCAAATATTGGAGCACACAGCTATCATGTCTGCCCTGGTCCTGCTCTTCACTTGACTAGACATGCCCAATTCCTGTATTTTGCTTTTATGATGAGAGCGATATAAAGGATACAAGGAGTAATAGCTACTAAAATATTGTCAACCAGATGGGGTGAGGAATACAAATGACCAATGATTGGGATTGGGTTCAGTGTCTGAATCGCTCTTGATCATTCTGCATGACTACCAGTAAACCAAGAGCAATTATGACAAATAGTAAACATGTAGAATACAGCTATAAGAAGCCAACATGATGTAATGGTTAAGAAATCACCTAGAAACCTGCAGCTGTGAGTTCTAGTCCCACCTGGGCACAGCCCAGCTTGGCACCCTTCAGACCGTCCTTCTCTCTGAATCCTAGGAAGCAAATCACTTCCAAAAGAACCATGTCAAGAAAATTGCAGGGACTAGTTCAGGCAATCGCTATGAGAGGACATATACAAATCTATTCAGCTTTCATTATCAATACAAGCTTTACTTTACTTTATTGTCATTGTACCTATATACACAGTATATGCATACTATGAAATTCACATAACACCTAGAGACCAGGCCCAACACACATAACAATCCCCAAACCCCCACCCACCCAAAAAATTCCCCGCCCCTAAGCGGGGAATAGCTGTCAATAGCTCACTGATGGTGGCCCTCTAGTTCATTGTTGAGTGCAACTATAGCTCTGGGATAAAAGCTATTCAGAAAATGTGTGGTCCTAGTTTTAATTGTTGTTTATCTTCTGCCAGAAGGCAACAATCTAAAAAGATTGTAAGCAGGGTGGGAAGAGTCTCTGAGAATGTTATGCAATTTCCTCAAACAGCAAGATGCGAAGATGTCATCCAGTAACTGGAGCCCGGTGATATTCTGGGCAGTTTTAATGATTCTCTGTAGAGCTTTTTCATCTGCTGTGGAGCTGCTCCCATACCATGGAAGAATGCCATATGTCAGGACACTCTCAATAGTGCTGAGATAGTAGAACAGAAGTAGATGCTGAGATAGATTTATCTTCCTTAGCATTCTCAGGAAATACAGCCTCTTCTGTGCCTTTTCACAAGCATGTTAGCATTCATGATCCACGAGAGGTCAGAAATGGCCAGAAATTTAAAACTACCAACCCTCTCCACCTCCTCGCCATGTATGTACAATGGTAAATGTACATCTCTCTTCCTCCTGAAGTCAATTATAAGTTCTTTAGTTTTTTTGGTGTTACGTGTAAGATTATTTTCTTTACACCACAGTGTCAGCCCTTGTACTTCCTTCCTATAAGCAGACTCATTGTTCTTATTAATGAGCCCACCACTGTCGTGTCATCCACAAATTTAATAATTGCGTTGGTGTTATACAATGGGGTACAGTCATGTGTGTACAAAGAATAAAGGAAGGGGCTTAGCACACAACCCCGGGGGGCTCCTGTGCTTAGTGTAGCTGTAGTGCTTAGCTCTTCTTTTTTTTTTGTAGAGCTGAGTACTGTATAGAGATAAGACATTTCCTTTTGCTTGTTATATAGGCCACCATGCATCTAAGATCTGACAAGCAAATATAAAGATTTACACTTCGACCAACACCACTAGACTCCTCTAGATATGGTAACATTAACCACAGACCTCTATCAGGGAAAGTAGATCCATAAGAGACATTGCCATGACAAGTTTGCATTCAGCTACTTCTTTAAGCAGCATTAAAAGTTGGGTTGCTAAACCACGACAGATTCAGAATGATAACATCCCGTCTGACAAAAAGTAACACATTCTTTTTGCACAACTCACCTCTTTTGCAGCGGGGACAAGTCCTCATCAAACAGACTTCCATTCCCAGCCAATTGCTGCTGCCTCTTCCAAATCAGAAGCCTCATCAGAACCTTCTTCTTGGCCTCTTCTAGCTCACTGTCCATCTTCATGAACAATCCTTGAAGGCTTTGAAGAGACTAAGAAAAGGGATACATGAGTGCGTATGAAGAAAATGACATGCATTTTCTGGTATCTGTCAGATATGCAGTGGAGAATTCTGTTAGGACATCCATATTGTGTGATTTCTAGGAAGACATAGATCATCTGCATCTAAAACTTGACTCAACATGTTAACATGTTTATTTAGAGCGTGGGAAAGCAATATTTTACACTGAAGGGTTTGGGCATTCCAGACAATTTTACCCTGCTCAATATTCAACTGAGTACAGAAACAATATTAACAGAATGTTTTTAGCAGCATAGGGGCTAGGATGTTTACAAGGATTAATTTTGCCCTTCCCCAGTAATCTTATTTTTTAAAAAATAGGAGGAGGAAGGTGTGTTGGAGATCTTTGCCACCTTATTTGTAAAAAACAATAAAGGCAGGAAGTAAACAAACAAATAAAAAATAGCCCAAATTACTATTCTATTATTACTTCTTAATGGGGTTGAAATCAATGGGTTAATAGGTTGGTGGTGGCTGAACTGAATGGGAGAAAATAAGGGGGGGATTGAGAGAGAGAGAGAGAGAGAGAGAAAGAGAGAGAGAGAGAGAGAGAGAGAGAGAGAGAAGGAGAAAGACACACACACAGAAACAATACATGAAGGAAGAAGGAAAACCAACGAAGAGATAGAAAGAAAGAATATAACCAAAAATAAAATACAAATTTCCATCTGCTCTTGGCTTTGGCTTTCTCTACTCTGAAAAACATACAGCCTATGGCTATTGATGTTTAAGCACCTCTCATTTTTTATTTTGAAAATGTAAGTTTTTTTAGCCCGAATACTTGGGAGAAGCAGCTGATGAAGCTGAACTGAACAGATACAAACAATATTGCCATTACAAATCAGAGGCTGGTCACAGCTTTCTTTAAGGCTTTTCCTAGTTTGGTTTACGCTCTGCATTACTAAACAGAAGCCCGTAAAAAAACTGCTTTTGGAGAGGGTCATTTTTTGTATTTCTGTTGCTGGGCAATTTCATCCATAATATTTCAGGCATTTAAAAAACATATTTCTGGTTATATGCAATTCTTCTCCCTAGACGACCTCTTCATCATTTTTGCTTTGGCTAAATAACTGCAAGAGAATAATGGGCTGCATTTTTTGACTATTAACAATGCTGATGCAATTTTAGTTTTTTATATACACAATATTAGAAATCCTTATTTGTCAACATGTTTGATTCTTTTTTAATGGTAATGTTTCGGCTCTAATCCACAGAAGCTCTTGTGGCCTTCAAAGCAATTTTAAAACTTGTTAAAGGAAAGCTGTATTTTCTTTTTCTTTAAGGATACAAATTCCTGGTCTTGAGCATTACATCGTCCAAGATTTCACAACTCTGTTGGCATTTAAAAATTCATCGGTCAGGATGAGCATCAGTTTTTCTTAATCCTTATTCAAGCTGGGGAAGTTTTCTGGCTCTTGGAAATGAAGGGAAATTCTTTCCAATGGGATGTGAGTTGTAACCCTATTAACACTTGGATTTCTATAGATCTTTCTAAGAAATGGTTCTTGGCCTTTTAACTTCCCAAAGGTCAATATTTGAATATTTACAGTGCAATTCTGTGCATGAATATAAGATTTCAGTAGCTTTAAGCTAAACAAAAAAAAAATTAGTGCACAGTACAACCTCTGGTCATGGCCATAATTTGTTGTATAACTTTGGTCACAAGCCGATTTGGTCATGACCCAAATCTAATTTTGGAAATTTGGCGCTTACAAAAAAAATGGCACGGAAGGTGAAATCGGCCATGGGGGGGGGGGGGAGAGTGAATTTTTTGGTCGGAATTCGATTTGGTCGTGGTCAGAAGCATTCGTGACCGGAGGTTCTACTGGATAAAGGATTTCAGTCATAACCTTATTTAACTGCTATATGATAACAACAGTAATTTCAGTCGGTATACATGCTGAATTATTTAAAAGCCTGTGGAATTGCCCCAGGTGCTTGGAGTTTGGGGAACTGATTTTAGAAATGGGGAGTAGAAAGCCAATCAACTGGCAATACATTATTTAAACAAAATCAAACTGTCACAATTTTTCCACTCTCCTAAAAATGGGCTAGATTCAGTTCAGTTATCTGGAGTGGAATGAAATGGAATGGTGTAGGGTCTCCTGTTTGAGCAGGGGGTTGGACCAAAAGCCCTCCAAGGTCCCTTCCAACATTGTTATTCTACTCCTTAAGCAATTTAGAGATTGAAGAAGCTACAAAAAGACTATTTTTCTGCACCAAACAAACTTGCTTTGGATGTTATTTCAAATACCATCCTAGACCAAAGAAGACAGACAACTTTTCAATAGTACCTCCTGTTACTGAACAATCCAGAGAAGGCAAGGTTTTTTAAAATCTTTTTATAGCAGGCAACTTTCCTTATGGGCCTTTTAATCTATATTTATTTTAGAGTCTTAGACTAAGCTTTACTTAGTCAAAGACAATTTTATCTTGGGAACCCGTTTTAGAATTTGCTAGTTAATTAATTCTTCCTTTAATTCTTTTATTACACTTTTTAAGGCAGTCATTATTACTGTTCTAAGTAAATAGAACCGCCTGGAAATAAAAGAAATTATACCAAATGCAAATACAAAAACCAAGGAAGTAATTTATTGCACCTTTAGTACACTGTTCTAAAATATGCAACTTGGAGTGTTCAGATGGTCCTCAACTTACAGGAGTTCACTTGATGACCATTCGAAGGCACTTAAAAAAGTGACCTATGACCATTTTTCAAATTTACGACCATTGTAGCATCCCCATGATCATGTGATTAAAATTCAGACGCTTGGGAACTGACTCACATTTATGACCGTTGCAGTGTCCCTGGGTGCGATCCTCTGACAAGCAAAGTCAATGGGGAAGCCAGATTCACTTCTCAACCATGTTACTAATTTAACACCTGCAGTGATTCATTTAACAACTGTGGCAAGAAAAGTCATAAAATGGGGCAAAATGCACTTAACAAATGTCTCACTTAGCAATAGAAATGTTGGGCTAAATTCAGGTCATATGTTGAGGACTACTTGTATTGGACAGTTACTGTTAACAGGGATGGTAGAATATTACATACAAGTAGTTCTCAGGTTTCATAAGAATTTCTTATATAATAAGAAATTATAAATGAATTATTGCAAAAGAGGAACAACAGACATACTATTCCAGGAAACATTTGCTGAAATATAGCTCTCCTGAAACTCTCTTTCGCTACTGGCATATTTTATTGCACATTAAAACTATAAACCTCACTGACAACCTTTTCTTGGACAGATTCCCATATTGGAACATGTTTTTAAATCATTTGAGAACAAAGAGTAAGCCTAAACTTAAAATCTATCCAGTTTGCTTGACTTTTTAATGGCAATTACTAATCTTATTTGTTATTTTATTAGGCAGCTTCCATTTTTAGTTATTTTTAATAGAATGGTCACTTAAGTAGTTCAATCATTCTTTTAGACCATTTAGAATTAGAAATGGAAACTGCTTTGAGGACTCAGAGTTTAGACAGCAAAAAAATAGGGCAGCAATGAAAACAGCAAATAAATTCAAGACTCCATAATAAATTATTTGTAGTATTGGTAACTTACACTTGCTGGCAGGTTCTCTTGAATTGGAAATTGACAGTCCAGTGAGTTTTGTGACATTGGAGCTGAGGATCACAAATGCAGGGTTAACGATGACTATAGGCAGTTTTCACATACAAGCTAATTATTGCACACATTTTAGGCCATCATTTTTTCTTTCGTTTATTGAAAGTTGGGCACAAAATTCCCCACTTATAGTATAATTAGAAAAACAATATTCAGTGGATCTCCTTGGTGATCAGTCTCCACTGATAACCCGTAATATGGACTATGTCACCACTTTGCTAGGAGTGGGAGGCAGGTATAATCTGAATGGAATGAATGAAATTTACTAGTGTCCATATATTTCAAGGCAATAATATTAATAAAATAGCCCTTGGACATTATATATTCAAAATATATTTTTGAATAAGTTTATAAGGCTTGAAATTTTATATTTTAGAGGTACAGTAGCTATGTTAAAAACAAGAGTTTATTTCAGGAAAAGTTTAAAAAGAAAGACCATGAGATAAATGTGTGCTAAAAACATATTTTAGGGAAGCTTGAGCATGCATTATAGAAATAACAAATGGCAAAAAGATACAAGTAGTCCTCATTTAGCGATTGTTTCATTTAGTGACTGTTTAGTTATAAAAGTGATGAAAAAGTAACTATGACCAATTCTCATATTTATGACCTTCACAGTATCTAAACAAAAAAAAAGCTAAAATAAAATAATAAGCATAGTTGTGGTTTTATGAAGAATGGATGGGAAACATGACACAGCAAGCAGAGATGGCAAAATTAATTGTTTTAATTAAGGAAACAATGCATCCAGTTTTGCTTCTACTTGGAAACGGCTTCAAGACTATTTTGTGCTCAAAACAGCAAAGAATTATGAAATTTTGGGTGATCCGACTAGTATAGAAGTGTCTAATATTCACTAATGATGTAAAAGTAAAAAATTGAGAGATCTCTATTTTGTACTTTACTGCAGTGAACAAAAGTTGGAAGCCACTGCTTTTTTCCCCTTTCTTCTTTACTACTTTCCTTCTTATCCCCCACCCTTTTCATATAGAGCCGAGGTGGCGCAGTGGGTAGAGTGCAGTACTGCAGGCTACTTCAGCTGACTTATCTGCAGCTCGGTGTTCAAATCTCACCAGGCTCAAGGTTGACTCAGCCTTCCATCCTTCCGAGGTGGGTAAAATGAGCACCCAGACTGTTGGGGGCAATATGCTGACTCTGTAAACCGCTTAGAGAGGGCTGAAAGCCCTATGAAGCGGTATATAAGTCTAACTGCTATATATATATATATTGTTTTATAAATAACTCAAGGTGTGAACATACACAATACTCTTTCTTCCTCCTGTTTTCCTCTGAACAATCTTGTCAGCTGGGTTGGATTGAAAAAAAAAGACTAGCCCAAAGTCACCCAGCTGGCTTTCATGGGAAGGCAGGTCTAAAACTCACAATCTCCCACTTTCTCGCCTGATACTCATAGCTTCCTGACTTCTAGCCTGTGGCCTTAACCACTAAGCCAAATTGATTCGCTTTATTATCTTCATTTCTCCCTGTATTTGAAATCTGTACAGATAGACTTCAATAACATTTGTATAAGCACAGTTGTGGTTTCATTTAGAGACCAGTTTCTTAACAGCTGAGTTGCCAGTCCCAGTTGTGGTCACTAAACAAGGACTACCTGTACCCATTTTTATCCCAATGGATGTTATAAAATAATAAATTTTAAAAAAAAGACCAATTGGAATATTGCCTTTTAAGTCTATGCAGTGATCCAGATCAAATGACAAAAATGAATTTAGATACAGAATCCTTTAAAATAGTTGCATGAACTTGTATGGCTGTTGCCTGAAACTGATTTACAGTCCTGGGAAAAGGCTTGCTTGGTATAATGTGTTCCTGGCAGATGATATGCACATGACCAGATACATTCTATTTGACCCTTCACATCCATATCTCTATATGGGTTGATGGCCTTTCAAATGTTGCCAAGAAAATGGATGAGATATGTGCTAATACACAGATGCATCTTATCTACTGTTGTGAAATGGGTAGGGAAGTGCTTCATTTCTTTGTCCCTGGACAAACTGGAGAAAACCTTCTTCTGTTTGCTTAATAATACATTTATTAATATTTACTAAGGCATGGTAAGAAAGAAAAAAGAAAGAAAAAAATCCCACAAATAACAATTACAAATCAATCAAATAACATTAGCTGGCTGAAGACCAAGTGTATTCATAATTTGAAGCAGATGTTAATAGAAAACTGACAGCTAAGTAAGAACAGGCTGAAATAACCAGACTACATAAACAAACATGCATTAATCCAATAAAAAGGTCTTTAAACCCCTTTTTAAAAGTTGTAACATTTTCACAGAGAAAAAGGGAACTGATTTTAGGGTCATGTCATAAGGTCTTAATATTTTTTAAAAAATATTTTTTTTTATTTTTAAATAAACACAAACAGACAAAACACAACAAACACCACAAAAAAATCTTCCATTACAAATTGTAAAGTGTGTCAAATGGTTACAAAGAGCTTTCGTGCATCCCTTCCACAGTAATCACCTACAATTCATATCAAGTTATATGTTTTAAATTAAATATATATAAATATATAAAGGGATGTAAAAACAATCATAGTCCTATGAAGATTGAGGTATGATGATAGTAATATATATAAATATAAGTCTAGATTCTTAAAATCCCAGAACTAGTAGCTGTGGCAGAAGGAATTGAAAAGAGAAGAAAAAGACCCTATTTAGAAGAGCATAAAAAAAAAAAACTATGGGAAGAGATGAGAGAAATCAGATCTTGGAAAGTACCAGAATTTTAAACTTAGCTCTGACGCAAATGGGAGGTAGTGAAGAGCCCTGTGCTCTTCTGAAACATAGGAATAACATGGAAGGGCCAGATTAGCTCAAAAGGCATTGTTCTAGATCAGTGTTTCTCAACCATGGCGACTTAAAGTCCACAGGACTTTAAGTCACCAAGGTTGAGAAACTCTGTTCTAGATAAAGATTAGGGAACAGAGATAGGCCTCAAAGGCAGGTCACCCATTCTTAATTTTATGTCCTATGCAGTAAACAAAGTGACAACACTGATGCTGTCAAGATGTGGCTGTAACTTCCCTTGTTATCTCTTCCAACTTCTTTTTTTGCTTGCCAAAGTCTTTTCACTAAATCTTTGACTCTTGTCCCAGCAGATTAGGAGTTAAGTGAGGGCTATTAAGTTATGTGTGATGCCTCTTCCCTTCTCATCAAGCTGCAGTGTTTTGGTACAGTCCTTCAAATGTGAATTATGGCAATAACAACCCAAGCCTCAGCCAGGCACAACAAACTACAAAGCAGATGTTATTATGTCAGGTGTTGTTGCAAGGAACGATCCCAAAGACAAGTTCCCATCAAACTGGCTTCCCCATGCAGGGAGGAAGTACTAGTAGTTCCTAATTGATGGTTACCATAGCTAGTAACCACTCGGAGGATAACTTTTGAAGCCAGGATAATGGATCTGCCATATATGAATTTTCTCAGTTATATGTTTTCCTCACCTCATAGATTGAAGAGGTAGAGAATATGACAATACGTTTTTAATCAAACGTATCTACCACCCGTCTTACTAACTGAGTTTTCAAGTAAAAAGAGATAAAATTCATATAAAAATACATACAAAAAAATTCTGCAGCTCTCTCTTCTTCCCCACCTTTGCTGATTTTGTATCAATCTGCTATGGGGAAAAAAGGGTATGGGCATCCTAATATATGCGAGAAAAAATACCTTTCTGTTTTAAAAATATTTCTTTTAAGGGGGAAAATTTATTTATTTAAAAGATTTATACGGTCACATCTAAAGCAACTCTGGGTGATTGCTTAAGTACAGTACAGTATCTGCTCCACAAGTATAAATTTAGGACGCTTATTACTGTCTATGGAGATTCTCAATCATTCAGGTCATGGTTGTCTTAAAGGTGCTTTTTCAAAAGGCAACTGGACTTTTCTTTGATTTCCTTAAAGATGTTTCATTTCTCAATCAACAAGCTTCACCAGTTGAAATGTCTTCAAGAAAAAAGCACCTTTGAGACATTACGCAGCTTACGTTGAAATTTTCTTGATTAGATCAACTCTGAAAACTCAGGTGGCTTATTAATACTGAGGATACTCTGCCCCCTGTCCTGCATGCCTATGTAATAATTGTAAGTGTATATAAGAGTTTTTAATATCTGTATTGTACTAGTCACAGTGAAATATGACAGGGGTTTGATCCACTAAAGTGGTTCATATCTAGGTGTCCATATATGGCTAGGATCAAACATGGCCCGTTCTGCTGCCAAGATTCCTTGTTGTATGTGCACCAAGCAAGAAAGACTGGAAGGGACAATTGGAGGGGGGGGGAGGTACAGTATTTTCAATACTTTTTCAGTGCCCAAACTTCTCAAATGCTCTTTATATTATATCCTACCTCTGGTGTTGCCCTTCATCTGCTGGAAGCTTTCCCGGAGAGTTTGAATCTCTTGAAGTCTGTATTGTAGCTTCTGTATGCTGAATCGAAACATCAGTTCTTCCCGCTGACGTTCGATGACAAGGGGAACGTGTTGATGCTGCAAGAGGGAAAAATGAGACATGATTCTCCCTACTGTGTTCCTTTTAGGACAGATCTCTTTTTCAGGTAATAAAAGCTGGACGAACACATCAGGACAGAGACCTTACAGGCCAGAGACCCTATACCAGTGGTTGGATTCAAATAATTTAACAAACGGTTCTCTGCCCTAATGACCAGTTGCGTAGGCGTGGCTCATGTGACTGTGTGGGCGTGGCCAACTCAACGTCACTAATATCAATGGCCGCTTCGCTTTAGCTGTCACTTAGTAATAAGTGTTAACCAGAAAGGCAGTTTCTGTAAGCAGGGCAATAAAGATTAGGCTAGAAACAACACCAGAATG